TGAGTCAGAATTATGTCTGAATTGAGTATGAAAAGAGCCGAAAATGATCTATGAAACTTAAGTAATTTTCTTCTCTGTAAAATGTCAATATAAACATTCAATTACATTCAGTCAGTAAACTAATATAAAACCTATGATGATTCTCCTGTTTTAAAAGTCAAGACTCAAGTGACGGTAGTCAACAGAATCCGGAAAGTTCTAGCCCAGTCAGCCATGCCTGCCCTACTGCCATGCGCCTAGTTAAGCTCAGTGCACGACGTGCGATGTGTCGTGCACGGCAGCTATACAAGTTATCCAATCAGCAAATGCGCAAGCTCGAGTTTGACTTCCGAGGCGACAAGTCGCCGCACGACATGTCGAAATAATTGTATTTTGTCGACTTGTCGACTTGTCGGGTTGTGAATAAGTTGACGCGACAAGTCGACAAGTCGACAGAATTGACCCGACATTTCAACGAAATGAAGGCGACGGTCGTCGGGTTATTTTGTCGTGTCCGCAGGTTGATTTTGTCGACTTGTCGACTTGTCGCCTTCGACTGATTCACAACCCGACAAGTCGACAAAATACAATTATTTCGACTTGTCGTGCGGCGACTTGTCGCCTCGAAAGTTAATCTGTGCGCAAGTTATCCAATCAGCAAATGCGCAAGTTCAAGTTTGACTTCCGAGGCGACAAGTCGCCGAACAACAAGTCGAAAAAATTTAGATTCATTTGAATGGCAGCTAACAGCCACCATATAAATCAAAAGAAACGTTTGACTTTTCTTTGTATACTATGCTTCAATATTTCAATTGGTTCTTTCATGTACTCAATACTAGGCTTGAAATTTATACACCGTGTTTAAGGTCATGAGATTCAAAAGCCTATTGATTTTCAACGATTTCCGATATTTACCTCCAGAGTTATGGCCCTTGGTCACTTTGAAAAATCTTGTGGACGCTCCATAGGCTAAAGGTTTATATCCGATTGACTTTAAATTTAAACACAGTATTTAAGGCCACAAGACGAAGAGACCTATTGATTTCCCATACTTATTACCAGAGTTATTGCCCTTGATCACTTTGAAAAATCTCGTGGACGCTTTCGAGGCTAAAGTTAATATCCGATTGATTTTAGATTTATACACAGTGTTTAGGGTCATGAGATGAGGAATCCTATGGATTGTCAATGATTTCCGTTCATTATTACTGTCAGCGATATGACCCTTGAACACTTTGAAAAGTTGGTATGACTTTACATTTATACATAATGTTTAAGGTCATGAGTTGAGGAAACCTATTGATTTCCAACGATTTCCGATAATTACTGCCAGAGTTATGGCCCTTAATCACTTTGAAAAAAATTGGTATTTGATTGACGTCAGATTTATACACAATTTTAAAGGTCATGAGATGAGGAAGCCTATTGATTTCCAGCGATATCTGATTATTACTGCCAGTGTTATTGCCCTTGATCACTTTGAAAAATCTTTTAGATGCTCTAAAGTTAATATCCGATTTATTTGTGGACGCTCTAGAGGCTAATATTTAATATCTGATTGACTTTAGATTTATATACAGTATTTAGGGTCATGAGATGAGGAAGCCTGTTGATTTTCAATGATTTCTGATAATTACTGTCAGCATTATGGACCTTGATCACTTGAACGCTGTGAACGCTCTAGAAGCTAAAGTTGGTATCCGATTTATATTTATACACAATGATGAGGACACCTCTAGATTTTCAACGATTTCCAATAATTAATACCATAGTTAAGGCCCTTGATCACTTTGAAACATCTTGTTGATGATCTAAAGTCAATATCCGACTAATTTGAAATTTAGCCCTATTGATTGTCAATGCTTTCCGATAATTACTTCCAGAGTTATAATCCTTGATGATAAATGTTTGTATTGTAAACGTTCATATAGGGCAGCACTAGAAGCTAAACAAATTCTTAAATGTTTTCATTACGGACCAAAGAAAAAAATGTGACAACCCTTGTTGACTGCCGGACGACTTAGCCGCTGTTGGTTCTCTTTTGTGCTAAGAGGTTGATGTGCTCCTTTCTTTGCGATTCCTTTTGTTAAAAGGTTCTTTGACATTTCTAAAAAAATTATCTTGTAGTTTATTCATTTTGACTAAAGTATACATAGTTATTTATGTTTTATATGATAGAGAATTTTTAATATTTCAAAAATCTTTTTTAACAGAATTTACGGTGAATGTGAATTTGTTCCCTTTTGTGCTAAGAGGTTGATGTGCTCCTTTCTTTGCGATTCCTTTTGTTAAAAGGTTCTTTGACATTTCTTACAAAAATTATCTTGTAGTTTATTCATTTTGACTAAAGTATACATAGTTATTTATGTTTTATATGATAGAGAATTTTTAATATTTCAAAAATCTTTTTAACAGAATTTACGGTGAATGTGAATTTGTTGCTTTCGTAGCAAAATATAAGTGTAATGTGTCTGAATTCAATGAAAAATAATCATTTCTATAACATTCAATACATTGTAATTGTATATCCTTGCACTTAATCCTTCCTTAAACTACCCCCCTGAGATGACTAAATATTGGAGTGATTTAGTCAATGATTAAGTACAAGTCAACGTTCCAGAATACCACACTTTATGGTATTCTCGAACAATGATTAACCCAACAATTAGGCTAATCAAAGTTTATAAAAATCTTAGCTTAAAATTTAATCAGCTTTTCAGAATATGGCTGGTCAGAAAATCAGAGATTAAATCTATGATTAGCACTAATCCACTTTCGAAAATACGGGCCTTTAAAGTTGTTGTTTTTTTGTTCTTTAACATTTACAGCTGAACGACTACATGATGTTAATTATGAAGTATTTCAAACGAACCCGGATGTTAACAACTCGGACGTCCCCAACTGCTGTGCATCTGTGCCGAATTTCAATAAAGGAAAGAATATCATCCGATGCAATAGAAACGTTGCTGGAAGATTCTTGAAAATTTCCATCCAGAAATCCAATTTCTTGACACTCTGTGAAGTTGAAGTTTATGGAGTTTTGTGTGAGTATCATTGATCGATTGTGAGCAGTATGTTGAAATGAATTGTATTTAAGGTAAAGCAATAGTTATAGTGTTAGACAATTCTTTACCTAGCTATTTGAGGGCTGCTATGAAAGGAAATCCATCTCAGTACATGGCATATAAGTGATTTTGATGGAAGTAAAAAAACAATAAATTATATAATTTATAAACGTGCATTATGGGGGATTAGATAAAGAGTTGGCAGTTCTCGCTCTACTAGATAATAAATAGATACCGTTTAGAGAGTCTTATTGCTTCACTATGAATCGAGATATTAGAGATTGAATTTTAGGCCTAGCCTCAATCATCGGTAGGATTATCCATTCTGACGTTAAATCATCCTTTACAAAATGTATTCCAATCCGATTTATATCGCAGACTAGCGATGGCATCGAGAGTTGATTATGGTCTGGATAAGTTAATTAATGTGTAAATGTATATAGCATTTCAGGCCTAAAGAAAGACCTGCAATAGGCAGGTTTAGCTCTTGTATAATGTATGTTTAATTTTACCGACCAATTACATCGTTATTCCCGTGAGCGGCTGTATAGGTAGGATCACCCGTGCAATGCGCTGTCCATGGATCTCAAATGCTGCTAAGACCTGCCTGATATCATAATAAGTGTTAATATATATTTTAGTGGATGACTGTGGTATAAATGACTATGGATCCCAGACGTACAGATGTAAACAGCTACCAGGTATCCATCTATAATTGTATCTATATTATCTATAATTGGAAGATAATAATTACCAGAATGAAACCTGGGAATTTCTACCAAGACTTTGTAATCGTAGCCCATTTTGGGGCTCAGTGGGAATTCGGTAATTTTCTAGTGCAGGATTGGGAGCCTTAAATAAAACAGCGTCTGGTTATTCGGATGGAGCGACAAACCATGTTCCGTGTACATGTTAGAGTGCACACAAAAGAATACTTGACAGTTGGAGAAAAATAGACCGTAGCGCCACCGTCCTGACACAATTACCCTAATAGCACACTGTATGGTGTATACCCGTCTTGATTACTTTTTTTGGACCAACCGGGATTATGACAATCTGGTTAAAACACAGATCCTATTTCGTTTCGTTTTTATAGTTCAAATATTCGTTTTACTTGTCTTTACTACACTTGGATCTGGAAGAGTTGTTATTTAACTCGTGTTCTGCTTGAAATGAGGGGTCAGCCAATCAAATGGTCTGTCGAATCGAGTGTTTGACCTTTTTTGCCCGGAACTGTGGGTAATCCATTAGTAACATCAATGCTGATTGGTTAATCAAATGTCTGACGTCATAGGTCAAAAGTCGGTCTTTTGACCCCTGACATGACCTATCGCTATAACTTGTCAGATCTTCATGTAGTGTAGGCCATCGAGTACAACTTGTCAGATTTCATGTAGTGTAGGCCATCGAAAGTATAAAAAAACGAAACGAAATATAGATCTGTATTTTAATCTGATTGGGATTATGAAGACGTGCCATGCACTGTTTATTGCCATGACATTTTTCTTTACAGCTGTGTTTCCTTCCTCCTGTGCTTCAGGATGGCCGGATGGTTAGCACGTGTGCGCTGTATCAGAAGGTCTGTCATTGCTTCAACTGGCGTGGTTTCGATTCCCCGGTTGTACGTGACAAGGAGTAAGGTCGCCTATCCATCCAACCTCGTGGGTTTTCTCCAGTTCCTCCGGTTTCCTCCCACTGCTCAAGACCCCTAAGCGAGTGGATGTTAAACCAAATTTCTTTCCCGTCCTGCATTTATATATTTTTAGTGATAGGGGCAGAAACTTCACCTGAAATCAAATCTATGCTATACGTTGAATTGCATTTTTTCTTTTTAAAGGTGGACCTAATGTAGCTCTTAATGAACCATCCACAGACAGTTCATCGTTCTTGGGAGTAAACTTGGCGAGTTGGGCTAATGACGGTGTTGTACAAACTTCCGGTCACGAGTGTCAACATACGGATTATGATGACAGCAACCCCTGGTGGCAAGTTGATTTACAGGCCACATATAATATTACCAGTGTTACCATTGCTAACAGATTCGATTCTAAGGAAGGTAAATATTATCCAATCAATGACAGATCTAATGATGCACCCCCCACCCCCTGCAAACAGGAACAGCCGGTCCTATATTCGATAGTTTATATATTAGCGGACAAATTGTATTTTCTTCGCCTAATCTGTCTGGTGGATTTCAACTAAAAATGATCTGGTGTTGCCATAGAAACAATTAAAACACGTGGACACAGATCACCAAATATTCCTCCGCCATCACGAAGTAATGGTCAAAGTTATTTTAGTCTTTCTCTCCCTTCCCCCTTTTCCATGAAGATCTTTGAATATACATTTTATAGCTATAGGTTGGTTATATAAGGTTGGCATGCTGGGCGGACAGTTGTATGCTACTTTCAGTTTGTGTATCTTAAGTTTTGCATGGTGAACCCCATACTCCTTGCAGTGTTTCGTTTGATTAGAGCTAATCCAACTACTCACGGCTGTAAAGAAAGAAAATTCTTGTTCCAAATTATGACTGGTCAATAGTCCGATTAACAACCAATAACTAACTACGTAACAATATGATTACGCTTTAAACAGAGCTCCAAAATGGAACAAATATGTTTACATAACGTTACGTCATGGCTCACGATTTTATTATGCGCAATTAACCAGTGCATGACATAATATTGCCGAAAAACTAATTGTGTGACAAACGAGGCTATCAACACGTATATAATATAAACAATACTGTTTTGAGACGAACAACACTTTCACCGTTTTTAATACCTTAAATCACTGTCCAAAGTTTTAGGAAAGACCCCAGATTAAACGACGCGCTGTCATGCTACTGTGCTTGAGGAAGAACAGACACACTCCCTCTAAAGCGCAGGTATCAGAAGCTGGCCAGAGAGGGATTTCTCGGACTATTGCTTCAGGAATATGGATGAACCCCATACCTGCTTTTGAGGAAGAGGTCGTCACATGTTGCTCCATCTGTGATTGAAAGCGCTGGACCGCACGACAATGTGGGAAAACGTTAGAGCCGATCTAAGAGACGAGAATTAACATTAAAGTAAATGGGGAAATAATTAATGATCCGTGGCCATGTATACGGAGGCAGACCACCATTAAATTGTAGTTCGTCTATTTAGAGCAATTCGCTCTCTGTCTCTTTTCTACCCTTTTGCATGCCAATTTTTGTTGATTTTTTGGTCTAGAATGGACGAAGAGAATTTGAATTAACATTGTCTGTCGGGTTTTGGTAAATATTCATGATTTTGGGGCGGAAGGATAACAGAGTTATCAGTTGGTTACGGTGATATGTACGGCGAATAGTTACATGTGTGCACATATGCTTCCTCAAGTTTGTGTATCTCAAAATTGTGGTGGTCAACCTCATACAAATTTTAGTGCGAATAAATGACCATGTGTTTCTCTGTCTTTTGGGGAAAAGTTGGAGGTGAGCAAAGAGGCCAGAATTAACATTGTAGTCAATGGGGAAATTAATGGTGGTCTGCCTCCTGTGATAGAAATCGGGGGAGATAATCATCTGTAGGATACAGACCACAATAATACATGTATACCGATAGAATTAAACGGAGATAAACCTATTTCAGACCACAATTAGTACATGTAATACTGATAGAATTGATAGAACTAAAGGGAGCTAACCCTATTTCAGACCACAATTAGTCAATCTGGTTAAAACACAGATCCTATTTCGTTTCGTTTTTATAGTTCAAAATTTCTTTTTACTTGTCTTTACTACACTTGGATCTGGAAGAGTTGTTATTTAACTCGTGTTCTGAATGGTGTCAGGGATAAGCTAATGAAACGGTCTGTCACGGCGAGCTTTAGGCGTGTTTTGCACGGAACTGTGGGTAATCCACTAGTAACATCAATGCTGATTGGTTAATCAAATGTCTGACATCATAGGGTCATAAGTCGATCTTTTGACCCCTGACGTGACCTATCGCTATAACTTGTCAGATCGTCATGTAGTGTAGGTCATCGAAAGTATAAAAAACGAAACCAAATATAGATCTGTACTTTATAATCAGATTGACAATTAGTACATGTAATACCTTGTTAGAGCTAAAGGGAAATAACCCTATTTCATCTGTACCAAAATAAAAAGTGCAATTACAGGTTGATCAGACACGTTTGTTAGACGCGACAAATTCTATACGATTTACTGTTCGTTTCTGACTATTACACGAAAGATAGTTTGTTTTCGAATTTCAACTGAAGCTTTGTATTAAACTGTCGACAGTTAAAAATAGAATCTGCAACTTTTGTGATATCTGTACACCTAGGATTTAATATTTAGACAGTCACCCACTCTGTACGATTAACATTTAGGCTATGTTCGATATATTAAGCAAAATATATTTAGTTTTCTAATTTTAGCTGAACTTTTCGCATAAACTGTCGACAGTGGAAAACAATACAGCAACATTGTCTCTATATGACACGTTTGTTCCTTGGACAAATGTGCATCGCTTAAAGTACATGACACTTGACATGCTCATTCCTTTGACAAATGTGCATCACTTAACGGACGACAATGTTTCATGCTCGGTTCCCGGTCCATATATTGGTTTTGTATTTGTTGTTTTTAGATATATTATTATCTCCATTTTTTTTAAATTTCAGAGAGTGGAGATCGCTTGTGGAATACGAGTATCCTAGTCTATGAAACCGAACCATCAACATCAACACCATTTACATTATGTAAATTTATACCTGGGGAATTTGGTTGTACTATTCGTACCATAGAATGTGATGGAGTAACTATTGGTCGATGGGTTAAAATTACAAAACCTACAGAATTGTTAATTCTATGTGAAGTTGAAGTCACGGGAACACTAATTTAAAGTGGGTGGACAGGGAGAACGTCAAAGAAAGAAGAAACGGCGCTTTGATATATTAAAGAGCAAAAGAAGGACAATCTTAAAAATCATCTCTGAAAATAACATTTACGATTAACATTTCGTTATTTGGGATTCGGCAATAAAAAAGACCGGCTTACCTTTCATCCGATCATTTCCTCAATCTGACAGTAGGGGTAAGTGAACGTAGAGTGGTCGACTAGCAAGGGATGAAGTAATTTGAATGAAATTTCTAACATGTTTCAGCAATCAGCTCTTTATCTAATTCTTGATTAATGCATATTTAATGAATCAAACTTGGACATAGGGACTTTTACTCTGCAATCGTCCCGTAACTGTTCTACACGCGTTGGCGCATCAGAATGCGTGTGTGAACAACTCGACGTCTGGTATGTAACAGGTTGGTTACACCTGGCGTCATGTAATTAAACTTTCAAGTATATATATTTTAATTGAGATATCTGGCCGCCATTTTCATTAATTTATAAAATCTCCATCACCTTCATCAAAGCACCAATCTGATTAAAACACAGATCCTTTTTCGTTTTGTTTTTTATAGTTCAAAATTTCGCTTTACTTGTCTTTACTACACTAGGATCTGGAAGGGTTGTTAAATATACCGGCGTTCTCATTGAAGTGAGAAATTAGCCAATGAAACGGTCTGTTACGGTGAGTTCTTGGCGTTTGATGCACGGAACTGTGGGTAAACCACTGGAAACGTCAACGCTGATTTATCAATAACTGACGTCAAAGGGTCAAAAGCCGCTCGTACGATCCCCTGCCGCGACCTTCCAGATCTTCCAGGTCAGATCTTCATGTACAGTAGGCCATCGAAAGTGTAAAAAAGCGAAACGAAATATAGATCTGTACTTTAATCAGATTGACAAAACAATTCACATTTACAAAGTTTAATCAGGAAGAATAGTTATTTAAATATGAAAATCTGTTAAATAGATTGAGAGACGGGGAAATTTATAGTAAATTATTTGTTAATAGAAATTTTGTTTTTAATCAATTTAGGAATCTTTTCATAATAATTATTGGAAAAGGGACTATATGCCACTAAAGGATTATGTTCAACATCAGTATGAGATGAGGCGGTTAAGGGTGGACGTGAGCTTAGTAAACTAGAAGGGAAATATATTCAAGTCTGTAATACATAGACCCTCAAGTTTACTAAATGTCATTGATACTTATCGAAACGTCGTGCCTGTGTATAATAATCCAGTGATTGTTATCCCATATAACTGTGTTAGTTCTGTTATGTTTCCAATCACTAAATGCCACTAAAGAATTAGGCTTAATATCACCAGTGAAATTATTATTCATAATATAAGCAATATCAGTTAAATCATATCATATTCTTTATTATCTTATTTAATTAACATCGGATAGGGTACAATTCTTTTATTTCTCTTAGCATTGTTAAAACAATTCCAGATATGTTTTAATACATAGATCCCCCAAGTTTACTAAATGTCATTGCGCTTGCCTACCGATAAGAGGATACTTATCGAAACGCCGTGCTTGTGTATAATAAACCAATGACTGGTGTCCCATATAACTGTGTTAGTTCTGTTTTCTCCAATCACTTCATGGCACTAAAGGATGTTTAATATCATTAGTGACATTGGTAAAATAATTCTTTATAATATAAGCAATATCCACTAAATCATCATATGTTTTAAATATTTGTTATCTTGAACGGCAGTTTTGAAATATTTAGACATAGAATTTGTTAAATTTTGTATTTTTTTTCGCCATTGTTTGCACTTGATATGATTCTCTTGCTTTTCGAGCGTTGTTGATTTCTGAATTAAACTATTCTGTTTTTTTTATTCGTTTTCGTTTTGTGGGCGTATGCAGTTTAAGGATAGCATTAAATAATGTATACTATAATTCTAATGCTATATTTAGGTTATCTAGACTCTCAATATCTGAAATGCTTTGAAGAGAAAGATCATTTAAAAATATTATACCAGCTTAGACTGGATGCAGATAGCTATGGTATGAGTTTATTTAAAAAAGCAAATTAAATCGTTTATGAAATATTGTAGTGAAAATAACAGGAAATTGGGTCTAAGCGCATGGCTAAATTCCTACTGTTCATTTAAGGATAGTACTAACGGCATTTAGTCAATTAAACAACATATAGCAAAAACCCAAGGGTAGAAAACCATCAAGGTTGTGGGTAATTGGCAGACATCAGGCAGATTCGTAGAAGGCAATTTATATCAGCAAACTCGCTATGACGAATTCGGTGCGCTTGAGAGATAGAGTGAATGACTTTATTTTTAATCTATGCTTGTAACCTATGTATCCATTGCTTGACATAAAATGTAGAAACGAAGTGTGGTATTGTTACTCATGTGTGTAACCATAACCTGACTAATTTGAGTAAGTTCACAACATGGAGATGTCAGAGATCCATTTAAAGATACATCCTAGCCATAAAGTAAAGAATTACAAATATAACCAGAAACAATACTTGACGGTCACAAGGCTATTAAAATATAAAGCAGAGGAGAGAGTATGCGTCACGCGTTAGGTATGTGGAGTTTCCGGAAGTGCGACTCACAGAACTGCATCGTATGACATATTTGACTTGGTTGCCGAACTGCACAGTGTTACAATAGTCCCACATTTTGCAGCCACATCTTCTTTTTAACCCCTCCCAATCCATTTATTAGGTAATACCGGGTAGTATTGGGTGGTATTGGAACAGTCTTCCTGCCCTCCTAGCACATCTACTCTCTCCATCAACCCACTGCTTTGATGCTGGCGGAGTCGTTGGATTCACGTCCCATCCAAAACACTAAAACTTCTTGCAATCGTTTAACCACAGGAAACGTTACCACTGGTGGTCTTGGGAATTATTCCAGGTCAGACTTTTATGACTTTTAAATGTCTTATATTTGTATTTCTACAACGTGGTTATTTAAAACAATTGATTTCTTTTGTTTACATAGGCGTAAGGGCTCGGGGCTGGTGGTGGGGTGCAGAACCCGAAATGCCCGAAACAATTTCAGGGTACAGGGGTACAGGCAGCTGCGCTGGTCTTCTGCGAGAGCGGAGGAGCGGAGCTTACCGTGTAGGGACCCAATTTCAATCAACCAATCAATCAATCGTTCATAGTAGTCAACGATGACGGGTCCGTCGGAAGAAGATTTTGAAAATTTAATTGCTGCAAACGCGTTTTCCTGCTGTTTCAGCCTGTGTGGATACCGCAACTTCAATGTGATCCAAAATAGCGTTACAAACCTTAATCCCCAACAACCAATCAAGTATCTCGGACTATGGGGGGGGGGGTCTCTACCCCCCCCCCCCTCATACCGCAAATGCATTTCTCTTCTAATTTAGCTCGTGAATTAAGCAACTCCGAAATTGTCCAGTGGTTCTGTAACCGAAATCCCACTCTATGTCGCCCTGGTATTGAATTAAAAGTAAAATAAAATTAACGTTTTATTAGATTTCGGGCACTTTCTTTTGCCAACTAGATGAAATAATATTTCTTTTTGACTTTACGCGTCTGCCCGAAAGTTAGCTGAGTGGCAGACCCCTGGCTCGTACGCCTACGGTTGTTTACTAAATAATTTTCAAAATTCTTTATCTTTTTTATTTTCTATTTAAATTCTTTATTAATTTTTTTTTAATTTCTTTCTATTTGATGATAAATCATGAAATATTCACTATCAAACAAGTTCGTATTATCAAAAATACCCTCTGATGTGTGGTGGCACGGTGGAAGACTTTTCTCTTAACACTTTGTTTTCCACGAGGTACCCTTCACTCTTGAAAGAAATAAAGTTTCTTAGCTTACATATCAGAGACTCTTTGCCTTTCAATATATGTTCTTTATTGTGGGTTTTACTTTTTGATAGGGTATAGTTACAGATTGTCGAAAACCCCAGAACTTTATAAAATGGTGATAAAACGGAGTGCCTTGTTGTTGTGGCCTTCTACTGTTTGTTGACAATACTGATAAAAAGAAGGGGTTTGTTGTTCTGGCTTTTTACTGATCGTCAAAAATGGGACTATTGGATAAGTTAATTTCCGTTTTTGCAAACACGACAAATTAAATAGAAATCTTCAAATTGGCTAAATTCGTATCAAGCTATAAATAAGTAATAATACCGTGTGTTGGGTAAATATGGAATAACTTGTTATCCAGATACAATAAACAATAGGAAGCGTCCATTGATAGAGAACTTGTGTTAATCACGGCTACAACAAATTACCCCCCCCCCCCCCTCCTCCAACCCACACCACACATTGATAGAGAACTTGTGTTAATTACGACTACAATCGGGACTAACACATGGTTCAATTTTATTTCAATAATTCGCTTGCGCGTACGGGTCTTTATCAGTGGGAGGAAACCGGAGGACCCGGAGAAAAGCCACGAGGTTGGACAGGGGACCCTACTCATTGTCACGTACACCCGGGGAATCGAAACCATGTCAGTTGACTTAATGACAGACCTTATGATACAGCGCGCTCGCGCTAACCATCCGGCCACCCCCTACTCCAAGTTAAACAAAGTACAGAGACTTATTTTGTTTTAATAAGTTTTATTTTAAAAGAAATTCATATTTAAATAAAAATATAAATAAAACGTTCTTGATACGTGTCCTTTAAATATATTGGTATGTCGGAAACTTTTATACCTTGATACACAGCAACAGCTACATGTGTCTAAGAACAATAACTCGCCGGGTTTACTAACCGGAAATGGATGTTGTCATGTACCCCGGTATAGGATTTATCATCCAGATTTCAAGCTTACTCCGTTTCTTACCTTCTCAATTAAACGTCTGACATCTAACTCTGTTCAACTTATATATATATACTAACCTTATAGACAGGTAACTCTGTTCAACTTATATATACTAACCTTATAGACAGGTAACTCTGTACAACTTCTAACCTTATGGCATCTAACTCTGTTCAACTTATATATATACTTTAACTTATCTTATATCTAC